AAACTAAAGCATACAAATAGAATGACTGTTTTTATTTTAGTTAACAATTTTTTTTGCCATAGATGGTTATTTTGTGCAATCTGCATTGGTGTTTCAAACTTTGCTTTTTTTTTGGTTCCTTTTGTTTGTTTTCTCTTCAGCAGCTGTCGCCAAGAGAGTGACCCAGAGGGCTGGAACATGAGAGTGTCATACATTCAAGTTAAATCGTTCTTGCAAGGTCAAATACTAGGCACTGCTTTGGCATGACTCCCAACCACCAAGACAAGGAAGATCCATAAACTGGAGGTTACAAATATGCCACTAGGAGTTGTAGTCCTTGGGCCATTGGCTTGTGTTCTATTGTACTATATGGCATCACCAATTACAGCAGCACTGTTGGTAACTAATCTCTTTTCTTTACACTTTTGGTAATTATATAGACATTCACTGTGGAACTGTGACATAACATCTGGTTTGCATATATTCAAGTATGTCAGTAAACCAGAAAGAGAACGTGCATACGGTTTTATATAGCTAATATACTTATGACTGTTTGTTTTAGGGGTAGGGGCACTTTTTAATGTATATTTTCCTGGTAATCATGGATTACCTCTCATTGGAAATTGCTCTTTTTATTAGAAGAAGACAAAAAATACAAATATCTAATAAAGCTTGTGTGTCATGTCAGAAAGTGTGAAAGGTCCATCATAACTTCTAACACCAAGCACTTTAGACCTTTAATTAAGTCTTGATCTGAACTGTAAAAGATTCAAAGACTTACATTTCTCAAAAAGTCATACAATAGCTATTTTTTACATGGCCACTTGGGAATTGTATTGCTTCTTTGATGAAAAACAGACATCGGTTGCTCAGCTCTAAGTGCTTTAACACATGGAGAAAAACAACGATTTATTTCTCAAAACATAATAAAACAAATCTTTGAAGTGATACCTCAGAATCTACATTACACATAATATCAGATAAAGGAGTGATGAAAAGGTCCTTGTAACTCCAGGCAAACACACAGTTCACATGCATAGATGTGAGCTGTGTTACATGCCAAAGTACTTGTATTTCTGTTCCGTCTTGTCATTTTGGCATTGCTTTAAGACCTAACAAACAAGTTGGTGACCTCAAATTTCTTTACTAGCTAATGACTGGACATTAACCACTTCTCTTGGGGTCCCAAGGTGACATTAGGGGTCTTGGAGACCCCTGATGTCTCCATAAAGAGGACCTGTCATTGCATTTTTGTTATCACATCTCTGTGGTAGCAATACATTTAGGTGTAAAAAACTAAAGTTTGAAAAAATTAAAAAAAGTCCCCCGAGATAAGAAAAAAAAAGTCCCCCTGCCCCTGTGTGCATGTATATATAAATGTAAATAGGTGTTGGGTGTGCCTACGTGCAAAAACAACGATTACGCCACACATATTACATATCGCCGCGAATGTCCGAGTGAGGGCAATAATTCTAGGGCCAATTAATTAATGTTTACACTAAACTGATGAGCAGTAAAAGCTTTTAAAGCATCACCTATGGCCAGTTTTAGGTATTGTATTTTTTTGCGACTTCGTGGGCGCACGCAATTTTAAATCTTGACAAATTTTTACCCGTGTCTATTTACCCAACGTGACCCAATCTTTTATATTTTACAAAAAAATTGGGTACTAATAAATGTTTTATAACATAACGTAGGGAAACATTTTTATTATATAGTAAAAAATAAAAACCCCTATTTTGTGTGTTGTTTTTAGGTGCATGGCTACGCCTGGTTCCCGTCTTGTTGGGAACAAGTGGCATGCATTGTCATGTTTAAAACCGTGAAATACAATAAAGCTATTTTGCAAAAAAATAAAAACCCCAGTGGTGATTAAATACCACAAAAAGAAAGCTATGTGTCCGCAAAAATGATATAAAATTCATTTCAGTACAGCGTTGTATGACACAATAAATGTCAAAGTACCGCAGCACTGAATACTGAAAAATTGCCTGGACAGGAAGGGGGTTTAACACCCCAGTCAGCAAGTGGTTAAAGAAACAGCAGAACACTTATTAGGTCACCACTCTGATCTCTCCTCCTTTTTCAGCAAACCGAGACTGACTGGCAGTGGCGTAACAACCGGGGGTTGGATTGGTTGAGGTTGATATATACAGTATATGGATTCAGTTACTTATATTAGCTGTATTTAAAAATAGAATGGGGAGTAAAAAAGAAGAGATTTTTGGTAGAACCCAATAGTCCAAAAAGATTTAAAAATATACTTAAATAATATACCACACATTAAAAGCTACTACCCCCTATTTAAAATTGATAAAAACATGTCAGTAATGTTATGTCAGTAATGTTATAATATACAAAAGTACAAATATACATGCTATGAACCCCCCTACCAAGAACCAGAATATAAAAATCTAGCAGATATATATTCTCAGACATTGCATAAATGATAATCCTGGAAAGGTGTAGGCTATGTACATTCCCACCTTTCAGTAAAAAAAAAAAGAAAAAAGAAGAGGAATTGCCCTCCAAAACAAGTAGTGCAGCACTTTAAGATCCGTTATGCTGGGGATATACACTGAGTGGCCAGATTATTATGACCACCTGACGTTTGTAGGCAAATTAGCTATAATTTCGCACTGAAGTTGCTAGAGGACCAGACCATTATAAATAGGGAAGCAGGTTGTTTACCACGACAGTAGAAGTGATTTTTTTTCTGAAGCTATGGGTAAACAACGCGATTTAACAGCCTTTGAACGTGGGATGATTGTTGGCGCTCTGAGTCATGGAGCGAGTATCAGCAAAACAGCAGAATTCGTTAAATGTTCAAGAGCAGCTGTTGTTAAAGTGTTTAAAGATTGGACTGTCAACCAAAAATCTGGGTCTGAACGAGTGAATTGTGGCCGTCAGCGACTAGTCAATGTTAGGGCAGAACGGAGAGTGGCAAGACTGGTACAAGACAACAGAAGGGCAACAGTGCATCAAATTACTGCAGACCTTAATCAGGGATGCTCTCAAATGATCTCTGCACGCACTGTTCGCCGTACACTGCATCGTATGGGATATGGAAGCCGAAGGCCTGTTCGAACACCTTTGCTGTCTGCAGTTAACAAGATAAAACGTCTCCAATTCGCACAGGAACACAAGGATTGGACAGTCGAGCATTGGAAAAAAGTCATGTGGTCCGATGAATCATGTTTCCAGTTGCATCATGCAGATGGCAGAGTGAGAATTTGGCGGAACAGCATGAAAGCATGCACCCCACATGCATGAGTACTGGTGGGGGCAGTGTTATGGTTTGGGGCATGTTTTCCTGGCATGATTTGGACCCTTTAATTCGTATGGAACAACGTCTGAATAGCACAACATACCAAAGTATCGTTGCTGATCAAGTTCATCCTATCATGTTGATGGCGTATCCCAATGGAGATGGCTTCTTCCAACAAGACAATGCGCCATGCCACGGTGCTCGTATTGTGCAGGAGTGGTTTCAAGAACATGAGGGAGACTTTACCTTGCTTAGGTGGCCCCCACAATCACCAGATCTCAATCCAATTGAGCATTTGTGGGAGGAAGTTGAAAGAGCCATCAGGCAGCTGGTTCCACAACCATCAAATCTCACAGAACTGGACAGTGCTATTCATCAGGCATGGTGTCAGATTCCTCGCATCACCTTTCAACATCTCGTGGAGTCAATGCCAAGAAGAATCGCCGCAGTATTGAAGGCAAAGGGTGGCCCAACTAAGTACTGATGGGGTGAGTTTATTTTTAAATAATTTTGTTAATGTGTTACAGGTATGAAAAGCTGTCTCTATTATCCTTGCTTTTTTCACCCATGGCAATGTTTATTAGGGGGTATCCTAGATTATTAGGTAAGAGTGAATAAGCAATTAAAGGAGAACTATGAGATGAGTGATTTCCACTCACCTCATAGTTCTAGCCGACCTGTGACAATGAGACTGTCACAGGTTGGCTCAGTAGATCGGGAGGTGAGCGAACACATACCAGGTTCGCTCACCTCTCGATCCTGTCACGTCTCTCTGCCGTGACAGGGGGAGGGGCTGGATTCCCCTCTCCCCGCTCCGATCTGCCAGCGCTGACTGGCGGAACGGACGGGGGAGGGGGCGGGTACAGCTGGCTCTGCCTCTAGATAGGCAGAGCCAGCTGTCACTCACGCAGCTGGGCGGATCCCGTCATCTACGTCGGGATCCGCTCCGGCGTCTCAGTATACCGCGAGCTGTAGCTCGCGGTATACTGAGCTTAGGGTAACGGGAGGACGCTAGTTTGTGTCCTCCCGTTACCCTAAGGAGAACTATGGGGAAAAGCACTGACCCCATAGTTCTCCTTTAAACAAAAAGACACCTTTGATACATTTCCTGGCTTTTCCCATCAAGTTTTGAATAAACCAAAAAAAATTCTAACACTGATGTGTAAAGGCACGGTGATACACATCTGAACACAAAGTCACGCATAGACAATTAGAAGACTTTTCCTGTTCTATTTTCAGAAATAACATTTTATTAAACTGTAAAAATTAGTATTAGAGAACTGGTAAATCTGTGAAGGCTTATGGTCAGTCCTAAAGAAAATACAGCAAATCATGGTTTGTCTATAAATCTGTATCAATTTGTACAGAAGTGCATTTCACGTGGCCTGGTCTTGACCCAGCGCTGACTGCTGCATCTACTGTGTTCCACGGTGTCTGTGCAGGTGCACGCTCCCAGCTGCCTATATTAACTTACCCTGTGTCTCTCCTCTTCTCCCGGCTGAAAAACTCTACTGTGCATGCGCCTGCCCCATGATCCTTTGCGGCCGCCCAAAAATCTTCAGATCTTCGGACGGGACCACGCGACAGACACGGCGCGGCAGGTAAGTTTAAATCTTTTTGGTAAAATGTTGAAAATGTTTTTGCATATATCTACTGCTTGCAAGCAGTAGATGCATGAAAAAACCCCTGAAGGTATAATTATCCTTCAATATCTGGTCTGTGGTGCCCTTGGGAAGTCAAATAAAGGCCTAACAGATCACATATCTGGATGCAGTGAAATTCTCACCTGCCTTTTTTCATATGTAAACTACATGCCTTGTGCAGCTATTCCTTAAATACATTTTCACATTATTTTGCTTATTCTGGTGACCACTGAGCAAAAAGTCAAAAGAACCTAATTATTCTTCATCCAGTCTTTATTAATACTTGTTCATGTATACGTCACCTCTCGGCCAGTTAATGAATAAATTGAAGTAAATTGCTTCTGTTTAAAACGGATCTAAGCGGAAAACCAAAAATGTAATCTATTGCAGCCTACCAGTCCTTAGATGTTGTGGCTACATGTTTTCTTTAATGCATTTTCCTTTAATTTTACCTTGCAATTCTACCAGTAACACACTTTGGGTCTTTGTAGGACAATGCTCGCTCACTCACCCTACTTTATTAGAACTGAATCAGGACAGGACTACTGGAACCATCCCACTGTTCACAGGTGGATGGGATCTTGAGGTCCTCAGAACAACATACTGTAGTGTACAACAGTGCAGCACACAGAGAGAGCACAGGAAGTTATCAGCTGACAAGATTTCCAGCAAGATCAACACTTCTCAAACAGATATAACAAAAATATTTTAATGGTATATTTAACAGACTAAAAGGTAGCAAATAAGAGAAGCTTATTGTTAGGGTTTACATATCCTGTAATGGAGAGAAATAGAGAAACTGACCACGTGTGCAGGGCCGGATTTACTCTCCCTGCCGCCCCAAGATCAGGCCCTGTGATGCGCGCCCCCTCCCCCCGCGAACCCCGCTTCCCTTCCCATGCAGGGCGGCGGGGGTTAGTGTCAATTATTTTTACTGTGTCTTAATTTTTTTTATCACTTATCACTTTTTATTTAATTATTTCTTATTTTTTTATTTATTTCATAATTTTTTTATCAATTTAGTTTTTTTTAGATTTTTATTTATCTTATTTACTTTTTTATAATATTTTATCTTATTTTTTATAATTATTTTCTTATTTTTTAATAATTTGTCTTTTTTTACTTTTTAATTACCTTTTAATTTTTTTATTTAATTATTTCATTTTTTTTGTATTTGTATTTATTGAATTTTTCTTTAATCAATGTAATTTTCTTTCCACCTAACTTTATTGCTATCACACAGGAGAAAACAATCCCCTGTGTAATAGCAATTGGAGGTGACAGGTTCTCTTTATTGACCCTGTCACCTCCAATACAGGAGTTCTAGCACAGTACTGTGCTAGAACTTCTGTGACAGGTGAGAGAGGAAGAGCACAGCTCTCCCCTCTCACTGTCTACAGTCTATACGGAGTGGCAGGGTTACTTATAACCCTGCTGCTCTGCTCACTGCAGTCAGAGACTTGGGACTCGGCGGCGGAGGACAGAACCAAAGGAGAGAGGTAAGTGCAGGGGGGAGGGGGAGAAGGCTGCACACTGTTTACATGTGAAAAAATTACAGCTGCATAACTGAAAAATGAGAGTGTTGCTAAATGTTCTGGTTGTAAAAACATAAGCTCTAGTAAGAATAGACAGGGTAATGGTTTTTTTTCTTTCTTTCTTGCAAGCAGCTATAAAATGAGGATTATTGGAATGGGTTTTTCTCTATAGAAATCCCAATCACTCAGTCTATTAGCCAAGATCTTAAATGAAGAACATACATTGACTGCTCTCCTAAGCATTTAAACACATGGATGAACATATTAATGTTCCACTACTTGGACCATAATAGATGGACTATTGATTTTATTGTTCAGAACTACTGTCAAAAACTTGTCAGCTAAAATATGGGTTAGTGATGGAAAAAAGACTGTGTTTTTAATGTTAAAATATAATTTGTCATGCTTAACCCTAATCTTAAAACGGTTTCTTTATTCAAAACAGAGGGACAAAAAAAACCAGAGAGCATAATCCTAAAATGCAATACACGTGTGGAAGAAAAAAGTAACTTGATCATAAAAACCTTGTTGACACATCAGTAGTTAGCAGATTGTGGGACTGAACATTTGCTGAGAGTGATAAGGTCCTATTAAAATTACATACAGTGTAAGGAAAGGGAGAGATTGTGGAACGTTGGAGTGCAAAGGCCAAAACACACTCAAGAAGGACCCCTCAGATATATAATTTAAAAAAATAAAAATACTCCACACCTGTTATACTCATGTTTTTTTTCCAAAGCCTCAAACATTCCTCAAATTGGGAGAGTTCTATCCAGACTTCTGATCATGGGTGCAAAAAAATGAAAAAAGGGCCTCAGTCATGAAGGGGTTAAAGAATATGTCAGATCCTCAATGTACATGATCTCATTGTTCCAATTCAAAGATCCATCAATTTTTGTGAGGTCCCCCAAACGCTCCACCAAAAATGTTTTAGTTTTAGAAGATTCCAAGACATGTGGTGCACTGTTTCACCTTCAGCAGATGTTTGGTATCAATAGAATTTGATAAAGTAAGGTCCTTTATCCTGCTTCTTGGAATTTGCTATTAATTGAAGACTTGTGGAAAATGTATAGCTGTCTTTCTGGTAATTTGTTAATGCTGAATGCCAAACAGCTAAATATATATAATGAATATTAGGGTTACACCGCATTATCGGCCGAAAATGGCCCTTTTGGCATAATGCCGAAAGTGCCATTTTCTGGCCGATACAGCGGTGCATCTGTACTTTCTCTCCTCCCCGCTGGGTGCTGCTCTGTGTCCCAGTGGGGAGGAGAGAAACTGTCACAGGCGGCCAACCTCTGTGGGAGGAGAGCGCTGTGAGCAGCCGGATTCTCTCCTCCCACGCCGATCAGCCTCCTGTGACAGATCTGAGGAGAGCAGTGTGGGCCTCCTGTGTCTGGAAGAAGAGCGAGGTACAAACACTCAGCGATCACTGAGTGTTTGTACATAATTGAGGACATAGTGTGTTTACCAAATCCTCAATTATGAATGAATGGAAAGTGATCTACATCACCTCCTGCTCATTCATGATTATGGTCATGGTTATAGTAAACACACTATTTTCTCATGTTATGAATGTACAGGAACACTCAGTGAAGGATTCCTGTTCATTTATAACAGAGGATGCAGAAAAAGAGATTGGGGACTCTGTCCTCAATTTCTTTCTATTTTAAAAGGGAAATATCAGGGGTCTGTTTAGACCCCTAACATTTCACCGAAGACCCTAAAAGTAAAGTAAAAAATAATTTAATACAAATTAATAAATAAATATAAAAAATTATTTTTTTTATAAAAAATAAAAAATAAAATATGAAAAAAAATTGAAAGTTAAAATACACACATTTCAGTCTGACTTTTTTTTAAATTTCGGTTTTGAAATTTTCATTTTGGTGCACCTCTAATAAATATATAATGTATACGAGTGAGAGCTGTTTTGCCTGCTAAAAGTTTTCTCAGCCTGCAGACTTTTGATGCTTTGAAAGGACCAAGCTATCGATTATAAAAGTAAATGCAGAAAAGGTACATTTTGCCTACAATATAAGTGTGAATATGTAAAATGAATTTAATTATCACTTTTTTTTGTATAAATTAGCATTATATTCATGTGCAAAATAATTCTAGTTTTACTATTCAGCTACTTAATTGACATGTTCTCTCTCAAATATTAAGTAGCATCTGTGTAGCTGCTGCTTTTAAAAATATGGGAACTTGGAAGCTTATTAGAATTGCAAAGGGGTACAGCAGGTACACTGTGTGCTCATTGTGGGTTTTAAAGAAAACCTTTCATGAGTTAAATGCAGGATCTGCTACTGCTATCCATCTTTTGAAAATGCTAGCTCCCTGTCTATAATACTGACTGGGCAGCACTGAAAATAAAAATGATAATGGTTATGAAAAGTTGAATGTTAGGGAAACCGAAAAAAAAATCACATAAAAAATAAATACTATTAGTATAAGTATTTTAAAAGCTGCCTGTATATTACCTTGAGGCAGAGAGGGATAGCAGTGAGACAGTAATGGTGTATTGAGTTACACAGGACTGTCAATATAACACCATGATCTTGCTTAAAGGAAGAGCGAATGCAAGGATGACCTCATCACGATGCTGCTAATTTGATGTCCAATCAACACAATTGTGTGTTATCAAGGTAATAAAAGAAGCAGGAATTGAACAACCACATTGTGTTTACACGGTCAACCATCAGACAGGTATTAGTTTGGTAGGACACATGGGCAGCATAAGGGCCATCCCATAACATTCACCCTGTCAATATTGCTATACAGGACTAAACTAGGTAGATAAATAACTGTTTCCATGTGTTGTTCCCTTGCTAGCAGGATGAGTTAGACATTACTCCGTTGCTGGCGACGTACATTTTGCAGCATTTTCTGTCAGCAAGGAAGGAATCACTTGGCTAGCGAGGAAGTAGCATGTGGAAGGAGGTATTTTCTCTGCAGTTTTTAGCAATATCACTTGTGTATTTGCTAGTGTAAAACAGGGATGTCGATATGATTTTGAGGGTTCTGATTTATTGTATTTAAGATTTATTATTAAAGAGGACCGTAATTCTGGAAGCTGTACCTAAAAAATGGGAGACAGAGCGCAAAGGACTAGTCCCCAGTATTACCCGTGATGTGATGCCCATAATTGACTTACTTGCCTTCTATATCTGTGTGAAGGCAGCCATCTCAGTGGAGATAGGGTTTTGCCACCCTCACATACCAGAGAGTGCTCTGCTATTTATTAAGAGGAACTCCAAACAAGAGGTACAGTTTTAGGAGGTACTGATTAAAGGCGAACTTTACCCTTATCTTAAAAATGACAACAAAGGCACCGTTGGAATTGTTTAGTAATGACAATCTGCAAATAGATACTTATAGATAATCGCTGGCTTTTTAATCTTTGTACACCTTATTTTTCTTTTCCTCCCCATTCTTCTCACAGTGGCCATTTTACTAAGAGCAGATTAAGCCATCTCCCTTTTACTTCCTGGGACTGTGGCACAGGTGACCATGTACATCATCTCAAGGGGAAGAAAATGCTCTTCCCCTCAGATCTTGTGAGAGTTTAAAATATACAGATTAGATTTCCCAGCAATGCACTGTTATGTAAGCTTCCCAAGATGCATCTCTTAAGTAGGGGCTAGATCACTAATGCCTAAGAGAACCAGGAAGTGGAGAAACAGTAATTGTGAGTAAAAGAAAACAATGTTTATTTAACTAATGAATGTAAGAAGATTTCATATAATAAAGCAGAGCTGCACACTGAAGTGATTTTTAGTGAAAGTGCGTAAAGGTCCACTTTAAGCACAACTAACATTTCCAATTTTCCCTATAATGTAGAAAATTTTAAGTTTTTGAGTTCCGTTCCACTTTAATACACAAATGACTAAGACAATATGACAATTACAAGAAAAAAATGTTCATCGCTGTGCTGAGAAGGTATAGAAACCAACCAAAACACATTGTAGCCTCTTGAAGCCATGAACTGCATAGCAGTTGGGACACCTACTTCCTCTGGTGCTAATAATAGTAAGATGGAATATTTTCCAAACATTTATAAATGGTATTGGTATTGTTTGGTATTCTATGCTTCCAAGTCTTTATAAGTACCAATCAATCATTTTTTGGTACATACTGTGCATTTAACCATTTGTATCTAACCAGTGTTAATGATCCGTGCAATGCTGATCTCTTCACAAAGACTAAGCAATGATGGACTATAAAGCCGTCCATACATGTTTCATTTGAACCTTCGCTTGAAATTGCTTGTCAGTACATTCTTGCCATCACTGAGTCAATCAACTTTGTTTGAAAACCCTTAAAAATGTCATTCAGACCTCCTACTTGAATGGAATCCCAGATTTAGTAAACTGGTTTCTTTTGTGCCTAGCACATGTACATTGCAATATGTATGATTATTCCCCAAACAAAAATCTCATTCACGGTTAGACGTTTGTTAGGGTGAGAAGCAAGAACATTTTTTCATCCAGCTCTTTTGATTTTTTTCATCACTAAAAGGTAAAAAACAATGCCGCTTAGACCCCACTAACAATTAGAAAGTCAAACAATGCTTTGGAAACAAATAACAAATTTCAAACAACATTCTACTGGTGTATGGTCTTTAGTATAATAATTTTCAGTTCCATAATTGAAGGTTATCTAGAGTGGTAATTTGCTTTCCATGAATTACTAGACCACTGCTGACCTTTAAGGTACTAAAGAGAAGGCATCTCATTTTAATGGGTAACTCTAAGTGGAGAACAACCATATATATTTTATGGACAAATGTTAAAACAATTTCAATGATGCAGTGCTCACGAAAAGATCATGTAGGTAACAGTTATAGCTATGCAACTATGATAGGATCTATAATCTAATTCATAGAACATAATTATTGAATGTTATTATGCACCCAATAGTACATGCACATTGATTTAATAATGACAGAAACTGTACCTTGTAGATTGCGCACCAGATAATAAAATGCTAGACTGTTTGATCTGTATGGAATTATCCAAACGTAACCAAATGAATAGGAAACAAGAAACAAACACACATGCGCCATTTTTTAAGTTTTCCTTGATATAAATTGCACATTGAGAAGTAGACTATACAACAAAATGCTTCAAGTATGGTTCATGCCAATCATCCTATAGAGTCATAACATTACTGGAAAGTACACTTGTTCAGGAAGCAACTCAAGTCCTTCCATGGTAAAACATACATGTAAAAAGTAGGGAAAAAGAAATACAAAAATATTAACTCTTTGGGCTGAAAGAAATGCAAAGATATCAAAACATATTGGGGAAAAATATACGACACTAAAGTATATAGCAACCAAGTAAACACATGTGACAAGTGGCACAAAACTAGTTAGGTTGGAAGGAATATATAGACTGGATGCAGCATAGAACAGTAGAGTAGAAATGCAATTGTAGGCAACGTGTCCATATTCTTAATCATAAAAGTGGTGGTGTCATTGTAATGACTTCACTGGGTCACACAGGCAATTAGTAAGAAATTTGCAGTTACAGCTAATTCACTTGTTTCCACGTATGTCCTTACCAAGGAAACTTAGCAAAGTTCACAGGTAATGTTTTATTGACTTTGATTCAACAATATGGTCTATGAAGGTTACGAGTGGAGCTTTTGAGTGGTACACCTAGCTGCAACAATGGCACTTAACGTGGGCTCTTGGCAGCAAGATTATTGTGAATGGTGGTGTTATTGATTAAGAATATTCTGGAATGTTTAAAAAAATTTAAATGTTCAACAACTTATTTGCAGTTTATAAAATAAGTGGACTAGTTAAGCTAGTGGTAAGTTAAAGTAGGTCAGCTGCCCAATTAAATGATTTAAGTGTGACTGCAGGCAAAACTATTTCTTTTTTTTTCTTCTTAGTTTTAAATACAGTGGAAGGTTATAACCTCTGTCAGGCTTTTTTGCCATCTGCCTTGCTAGAGATACTCCCCTAGTTTCCGGATGCTGTGAAACCATTTTCAAAGGGCCAAGCAGTGAGAGAAAATATAAAAACTGGAAAAGGTTCCAACCTTCCCTGCTCTACTGAGAAAAGGACCCCTACTGTTGTCAGTCTTCCATTTGGAACTTTTCTCTCACTTCCTTTCCCAATAATGATGCCATCATCAACAATAGATGTGAAGAGAAATTTCCAGAGAAGGGCGGGCCACAGGCAACAGTAAAACCTTACTGAGGTTGTAACCCTTACCTAACCTATGAAAACTGAGAAAAGGTGCGCTTTAACAAAATAGTAACATAGGCATTTACTAAAAAAAGAACTACCCAGCAAAGTAATGGACTCATATCATAGTGGTAAATGGCTAATTCAACTGCCTGCTGGCTCCCCTGTTCTCAGTTTAAAGCCCTCCAGGTTGCAGCTATGGTCAAACAAGCAAGACAGGCAAATTAAGTGACTACCACTGTTGCCACCAAGGAACATGATGGCAGAAAACAGACATTATTATTATTATTACTATTATTATTTTTACGTGTGTAATGCTGGCCACCTTTTGTGGCACTTCAATAGGAGAGGGGCACTTCAATAATAGTGTAACGGAGTATAATAATTTAGATAACACCAGCTTCACTTTCAGTGCAATCAATCTGAACAGACACAGTTGCTTATTTTGTTACTGTACACGAACTTTAAAACTGCATGTAAATTCCAGTCTAAATGGTTTCAATACAGAAAAGATCTGATGAAACTATATTAAAGCAAAAAGTAAGTAACTTGTGTTTACTTTCAAGACACAAACACCAGCATCTCATTGTATGCACATTTTATATGTAAACAATATCATGAATTCCTGAAGCTAATTCAAAAAGGTACAAAAGAACTGATCCCAACAGAGAACTGTATAAGACTTTCTTTAAAGGAAATTTAATTTCTGAATAGAAAAACATTAACATCGGTGACCATAAACAAATAAATGAACATATGAAAAAAAAAACTAAAATATTAAATGCCATTTCATCCATGGTAGCAATAATTAACACAACTGTCAACTATAGACAGTGAAAATGTAATAAATAGTCCCAAATTAAGACATTTCTATTCACAGACACAAGCACATTAAGTAGATAAACATTGCTAGGATTCAGATCAGCTCAAAGCCTATTCTTGTATCTGGACACCCTATAATTTCACTTAGTAAGGCTACAAGTCACATAATGGTGTTTGGGTGCATTCATGGAAGATCCGTACGATGACATCATGGAAACATGAATCCTAAATCAAACAGGGCTGACAGTAAAAAACCAAGCTTGGTCCACTTTTGGCTCTTCCTATTTCAATATTTCATTGTATTTGCTGTGTAAGCTGAGAAATGTTCTTGTGAATAGAGTCATCATTATGTTGCTGATGGCAGTCCTGCTCTAAGAGCGGAGTGTATTTTGGGATGGGCATACTGGACCTTGTAGCATGTGGTAGTGTCATTCCCATACTGATGTTTGGAACCTAGATATGCGGTAATAAATAGATCAGTCACGTAGTAAGGCAGTGTGTGCTCAACATAAGTGCGCCATACAGAGACACATGATCCTGAGCACATTAGTTAATGAAATAAGTCATGTTGTCCGTGTCTTCTTTTTCAAGGCTTTCCAGGTTTAATCTCCAAAAATGTATAATTTGTATGAAGGATGATTTTTTTTTCTTAATTGTGGTTCATCATTTTCCACTTTGGGCATAAAAAAAACAAGTAGAAAGAAGATAACCATCCAAAGATGTTTTTTGTTTCTTGTTGCTCTTTAGAGTAACAGATCCACTTTTAACATCCTGAATTATTACAAGCAGTTCAGTTGCACTGACTCTTGTCTAATTGTCCACAAAAGGCAGGTCCATCTTATACTCTCAGGAGGCCCCAGATGTTTCCAAGTAGCTCTGTAGTTTGCGGACTGTAGTTTTATCAAGGGAACAAAGGTCAAAGTCAAAGGTTGTGTTTGTGATATGGAAGTGCCCAGTTTCTTCTATAAGGTTCACAATCTATAAAAAAAAAACACAATGAGAAAGTATTAGAATACATTACATCAGAATTAGATAGAATACTAATACAATTAGATAGAATTATAATAAATTACAGACATTCTGTATCAACAGCTTTATTATTTGGATAATGTAGAATACTTGCCCATGATCCCTTTGGGCCCCAAGTTACATGGGTCTTCAGTCTGGATTAGTCTGTCAGTTTTTCCGATGGATATAGACTAATGCCCAATGTATGTCTAGGGGTGAGTAGACAACAACAGACATGTGTCTACTTACATCTGCTTACAACCAAGTCAGTCTAAGTCCGGGAAAGAACATGGGAAAAGATTTGTTTCCTTTTCCATTCTTGTGAACCTAGACAGAACTGAACAAATGTAAACTGATGTAAATGGACATTGTCCGTTTTAACTGTAAACCTTTTTCTTTTTTTGTGTCATTTTTGCCCACCTTCATCTGCGGCAGAAGAAGGAGCATGCACAGTATGTTTCTTTCCCTCCATTTTATGCAGTAATCGTGGCCAGGGATGTCTTTAAAGAGACACCTATTAATTTGGTCAATGTCAGACCAGGCCTGTGGGACACCTCCTGTCGGCAATACAGCAATAGGCTGCAGGAGAGGCTGTGGCAGGAGGTGTTAAATAAATAGCAGCAGAAGCTTTCTTTCTTCAACAAACCCCCAAAAAACAGACATGTGAAAAACATATGTAAGTGGGTAGAAAACCGTATGTAAACAGATGTAAGTGGGTAGAAAACCGTATGTAAACAGAACTGAATTTAACTGAACTGAAGACAGATGTGTAAACTGATGTAAACTGGCAGAAACTAGGGATGTTCAGATACCAGTACAGATACTTGCCATCATGAGAACTACCAGGGTTTCAGAATTCAGCAGAGGTTTATGCGAATAAACTGATGACGCCTGTGTGAAAGGGGCCTTAGGGTAACAAAAATTACCTTGCAATACGAAAAATGCACCTATTAAATAATAATAAAAATTATAAAAGAAATAGTATTAGGGAAACTAATGAATCTCTTATTTGCCTCTGGATTTTGGAAAATGTCTCATAGCTCTTATTCATACTTTCAGTGTTAATAAAATGCAATATATTAATATGTTAATATGAAGCAAAATGTATCAATGCTAATTCAAGGTAATTCATCCGATTAGCAAGTAAGGCATTTTTTAATGGACTCTACCTCCAGGAACATGCTTGAGGAAAGACAAAGGTAAGTGGTTATAGAGAGGTTCCCAACTACTGACCAAACTGACCACTTACAGGATGGCTTTACATAAAAAATACATGGACTATCATTGCCAACCTGTCCTAAAAATGCTAGTGACCTGGTTGCCATACAGATTTTTTTTGCTTTGAATACTTTGAGTCCCTGACGTGGAAAAGACATGGTAAAGTCAGAGATCTTTACCTAAAAGAAGGCGGAGGGGTATTCCTGGAGAACAAAACCTATGTGTATATTTCTATTCAAATAGTGGACTTGGTCATCTAGATTTATTGAACCAATTGAACATATGAAAAAGGCAAGGAGGTCTCCCAGGTAGGAGGTAACTGGGAGTAGCGGTTCATAAAAATAAATCGAGACCAGTTGTATCAGTGAAAAATAGTACAAAATTTATTAAAGTAATCAGGATGCCAAAAACCATTGATGTGCTTCTCTAATTTCAAAATTTAAAAGACAACGTTGTAACACTCATACATATACTCATGCAAACCTCGGGCGCCACATATACATTGACAATGTAAACCTCCTATATATCCTCAAGGGGATTCTTCATTTAGTGGTATTGATCCCTAGCAGCTCTACAGGTGATCTTCAGAAATGGTCACAGTTCTATCCCCGTGGATAGAGGGGAATTGCCCTGTATCACCAGGGGAATCAGTATGTGGATGTTTGTCCTTTACAAAATCTGTGTCCATTTAAGGATTTCGGAAACAAGGTATCCTTTGATAGCAATATTGCAGTGTCCCCGTAATGAACATAAATTCAAGTAATTAGGATTTCTTAGAAGTGTCGCTGTGCTGTCGCATCTATCGTTTTAAAGTCCCGGGTTCAGTGTGAGTCCATAACACCCGTCACTTAATCGTGACTGGAGAGGGGAGACAAGTGAGTCAGACGGGGCTTCGTCAGACGAAGCCCCGGCAGGAGGGGCAAAATGCATTGGCTAATGTGTGCTTTATTGAGCAGCTGGGTGACCCTACACACAAGACAAACCTCCATGTGAATGGATCATACAACAGATCCACCACATCCTTAAGGAGAGGAAAAACACCGGCTATCAGACGTGGAGCCAAACACCATTGTGCCGAACACCGGAATACTCCAAGAATCACGGTGCTCCGTGTCTACAAATGAAATCCAAGGGATAAGCTTCCCCAAGATCAGAGTGGACAGAACAGGGTTGAGACAACCAACAGTGAGTACAACGATACACTGACAGTATTATATCTCACTTGTCTCCCCTCTCCAGTCACGATTAAGTGACGGGTGTTATGGACTCACACTGAACCCGGGACTTTAAAACAATAGATCCGACAGCACAGCGACACTTCTAAGAAATCCTAATTACTTGAATTTATGTTCATTACGGGGACACTGCAATATTGCTATCAAAGGATACCTTGTTTCCGAAATCCTTAAATGGACACAGATTCGTAAAGGACAAACATCCACATACTGATTCCCCTGGTGATACAGGGCAATTCCCTCTATCCACAGGGATAGAACTGTGACCATTTCTGAAGATCACCTGTAGAGCTGCTAGGGATCAATACCACTAAATGAAGAATCCCCTTGAGGATATATAGGAGGTTTACATTGTCAATGTATATGTGGGGCCCGAGGTTTGCATGAGTGTATGTATGAGTGTTATAACGTTGTCTTTTAAATTTTGAAATTAGAGAAGCACATCAATTGTTTTTGGCATCCTGATTACTTTAATACATTTTGTACTATTTTTCACTGATACAACTGGTCTCGATTTATTTTTATGAACCGCTACTCCCAGTTACCTCCTACCTGGGAGACCTCCTTGCCTTTTTCAGAGATCTTTACCTGCCTACCTGTTCAGGATCAAGGACTAAGTACTGAAGCCAGGGGGTCAGAGCTAAGTAATAGCAGCAAACAGGTTTCTCACAAGGCTGATTTGTTGTAGGTAAACTTGTTACAATACTGGGCAATTCAATCCTAAGATAGAGGTGGCCTTCAGTACTGTAAAAATCAGTAGATTCCAAGATACATGTAGCAGAAATGAAATGCACATCTCTACTTTTACCTCTTGATCTACATTTCTTCATCATAAGTGCACAATGAATTGCTCAGGTTTGTCATAGGTTTACTTTAATACTAATGCAACAGAAGAATAAGGAGCACTAAACAAAAAGATTTTCTTTCCGTAATGCTTTGTCTTGTTAAAATGTTTTCCAAACTCCTTGCGGACCCAAGTCGCTAGTCGCACATGAAAGCAGTGATGCTTCACAAGAAAACTTACAAATTGTTTTAAAAAAAAAACCCTCCCCAAATTGGGTCCAGTCTATAGCACACGTATAGACACATATATGCTATATGCCTCTTTGGGAAAACGGAAAACAGTTTGCTAGTTCTAAAGACAGAAAATTACCTGGCAACATGTCAAGAAGAAAGCTAGATCAAAGAGAGTGCCTGTACAAGTGAGAAAGCCATGTGCACACTATACATTCTAGAAAAAAACAGAAACCCTACAGACAGAGAATTAAAGGACAAGATGTTTGTTAAATAACTATTCTTCTGTGTGAGCAATAAACCCTTTCTATTACTTCCTGGAATGTGATATTGCAGCTACTTGTGTCTCAGCGCTAGAATTCCTTCAGTATTTGGAAATGGAGATGATATTTACAGGTCCAGTCATTCAGTTGAGCTCAATTCCAGCATATACTTTGTCCACTGCCCACTACTTAGCTTTTTTTTCAATGACAGGTTAATGTTTATTAGCAAACAGTTGCTAGACAATACACTGCTAGACCCATCTACAATACTTTGATGTGTTTCCAGCAGTTAGCAGAAAATCGTATTTACTATGTCTCTGTAAAAGCATATTTGTACACTTTACTAGGCATTAGTGTCCCCTATTAACATGAGTCTAAACGCGTTCAAAAAGTTATGTGTTTGAGTCTAATGGACGGCAGGCAGGTATACAAAACAGGGAAACTGACAAAGCCCTAGAAAGGGGCAAAGAGGAAATAGAGCATACCAGTCTCCTTTTTGCTTTGTGCATAAAACATTTGTAGCAGTTTTAGGATATTAAGCTCAACTGTAGATTTGCTACCGCCTTTATTTTTGAGGAGTACTGTTGTCTGTAGGTATATTTTACCCATGTCCTGTTCTGGTTACATAAGGAAGTGACTCCAATGATCATTTCAATAAGAAAACGGCAATAAAAAGGTGAAAGTTTCAATAGTGTCACACTGTATTAAATACAGTCGGTCTTGGTACTGGTTTTGGTATCTCTGTTGGAGAGATTCTCCCCAATAGAAAGCAATAACATTAACATTTAACCCTTTCCCAGTCTATTCAAAGACTGTGGCTATAATTAGGCTTTAAATTTGAAAATCTTTACAATTTATTTGAACCATATTTATTATTTGAGTAGTTTGCTACAACTGATCTACTTCTTCATAGAATACTAGTAATATCTACATTCCTGGTACCCAACCCTTTGGCACCTACTGTATGGCCACTGCAGTCAATGGTCTGTTTTGGTGCTTACTCAGGCCAGTGAAAGAAAATATTCTTTACAGTAGCCTAAATATTATATGCAGTAGCTTAATAGTTTATTGTATGGCTTATTTGTTCCACATTCATCTTACTTTTTTCTGTGCAATCCACTCCTTTTCTCTTTTTATGTTTGGTTTTTAACGGAGTTTTTATAAATCGATCTTGCTGAGAGAAATATGAAACAAGGCACAATGTAATTTTAAGAGGGCTGTAGGGAAATTTTAATGGCATTGTCATTAAAATGAATTTTTGCTAATCATGTTTAGCATGGTGTGCTGGTGACATTCTTTAAACTGTATGCTCCTTATGGCGCCATCCGTGGTCACTACAAGCACCCACCTGCATGCACAGGTCATCTACGGAATCCGGTAAGGAGTGCAGCAAGATGCATTTACTTACTTGATAATGTGGCCCCTGACATCACCAAGGGGCTACACATGGCATTCAGTAAATGCATTTCTGCAGAAAACGTGACATGTAACAGGAGAGACGGTCAGTGATTGCAAACATTACCAGTTGGAGTTGTTGGAAACTGGGGATATGCTTCAGGAGACAGTCATAGACTGAAGATACAGTGCATAAGATATTATAAAGTGTAAAGATATCACAGCTATTACAGCCTCTTTAAGGGTAACCTTTTGAGTTTATAGTTGATCAAAAGGTAGGTACTTCAGGGTAATGCAGCAGCAGCTCTGGGTCCTCATTTTAATCATTCAATTTTTCCCTGTTTTTTTCCTTATTTCAATATGGGACACACTGGTTGATTTTTGCACTCTGTGGCCTTGAAAACGCTTGTAATTGAATGGCATTCTGTCATTAAAATGGACTTCTGCTAATCACGTTTAGCATGGTGTGCTGGTGATATTCTTTGAAACTATATCAAGTTTACAACCACTGGTCTACACCCCAATAATAACACAATTTGCATTTCTTGTAATGTACTAGGAAATTAAAATGGAGATTGAGAACTAAGCAATACAAAAAATCTTAAGCAATATAATTCATGTCTTCTTCTTGTCTATACTGTAAGACACATCTCCCTTGAGCAAAAATATTATTATTTTATTTAAAAGTACATTAAAACAGAGTTAATAGAAAATATACCTGTCAATTTGTTTAAATACATCCTTTGTCATGATACAGCTCGTTAAGTGTACATGTGCCGTTAGTTTACTTTGGTTCTGAATGACTGTAATCCGGAAAACGACCATATAAACTTGTGTCTACAGGCCAATAGGAAGGGATTTCCTCTCTGCCTGTCAACAAGCAATCTGCACTTCTATCCCCAAAGGCCTTTTACAGCACCTGGTGAGCTTTTTTTCTTTTTTACTTTGTGGTATCTGTATGCATTACATAGTTTCAAAGCTTTTTGTTCAAAAGAACCTCAACAAAGCAATGTTGCACGTAACATAAAATGCCTTTAGCTAAAAAAATCAGCAATGGTTTAGCAAACATGTGGCATTCTGTGACTGCTACATTGTAAAACGACGGGGCCACTGGCAACAGAAAATATGAGGCCTTAATGGAGAACTATGAGATGAGTGATTTCCACTCACCTCATAGTTCTAGCCGACCTGTGACAATGAGACTGTCACAGGTCGGCTCAGTAGATCGGGAGGTGAGCGAACACATACCAGGTGAGCAAACACATACCAGGTTCGCTCACCTCTCGATCCTGTCACGGCTCTCTGCCGTGACAAGGGGAGGGGCTGGATTCCCCTCTCCTCGCTCCGATCTGCCAGCGCTGACTGGCGGAACGGACGGGGAGGGGGTGGGTACAGCTGGTTTTGCCTCTAGATAGTATACTGAGCTTAGGGTAACGGGAGGATGCTAGTTTGTGTCCTCCCGTTACCCTAAGGAGAACTATGGGGAAAAACACTGACCCCATAGTTCTCCTTTAAGCAAATCTATAATGTGTGATTAAAAAAATATGCTAATTGCAATCCTCAAAAGCCAGTCAAGAAAAAAAGTATTCTTCTTTAGCTTGCAGCATTCTTGGTTATATTACTCTAAAAAAAGAGTTGCAATCAAGTTTAAAGTGCAGGCACTTACAGTGACCCGGCAGTCCCCACTATTATGCCTGAATCCCGAGCCATTTTGGTATCCTAGTAATGTTGAAGCTTGCCAATCTATGCTATCTATGCTCCCGCACATTCCTATGAGTCCATTATGATCATGGCCTGCACTACAGCAATAGAGATACTGTATGTATGAGGCAGGACTTATGGGTGCCTGCACTTAAATAAAATACAAATTGGATAATAACTATTAATTAAAAGAGTAATTTTAAGTAGCAATGGCTACCGTCCAACATTCCTTCCTTCACTTGAACTTAAAAATAATTGTTTAACATCACTGTCTCCAAAATGTGGACTTCCACGTCCCTCACTGGCCCACTGTTTTTGGACGTGCCCCTCAATGGCGCAGTTCTGGACTAGGGTTACTGCATATATTGCAACGGTCTTGAAGTGGACCCCGGAAATGAACCCGCTGCTATACTTTTATAGCGCCTCCGAATATTCAGCTGAAGAACCTCACTGTTCCACTCACAGAGGAAGAGACTGGTTGCACATTTGTCTGTTGGCTTCCCGGAGGAGTATAATGAGGGGATGGAATACCTCCTCCACCCCGCCAATCCCCAGTGTCATTACGGAGCTGAAAGTTTTGTTTAACTGACTTAGGGATTCTGGAGGTGCCCTAACACGCAATGGTGCTATAGATAGTTAGCGATTGTAACTAGACTGAAATGTTCCTAGGAGAACGTATCTAAGTAGTAGTAAAGCATAGGATAGCTAAAGTGAATAGGGCAACCAGCTTGGGAATGTTTGATTGTTAACGTTGGAATATTCTGGTGCTGAGATCGCTGTACGTGGTCTCACGTGATGTAAACTGTATATCTTGGCACAAAAGGTCAGAACCCTCAGGGGGATGACCATAAAAACAGAATATAGTTTGTTTTAAAAAAAATTATTGTTTAGCTAGAATAAGAAAAATGCTTTCGTAAAATGTTACAATTTACACACATCCATCAATGCATGCCTCTGGCAGATGTATATTGTTACAGATTTATGGTGATATCATAGGGATTATAATATAATGAGACATTTTACATTTTGCTGTTTTTAAGTGGATAGGCCAGCCAATAATGTATTAACCAATTTAAAATCTGAGTGCATACATTTAGGTGCCTTTGTTCTGTTAATAACACCAATTTAAAGAACAACAACTTAGAAATTAGACTTACTGGTAATTTTTTTTCTCCAGAATCGTCTATTACTGTACATACCAATTAACCTATTACCTAATAACCAAATCATTTTAGGACAGAAACATTGGAGTTCAAAAGGCCCAGCTTTACCATACCTCCATTCTCACAATTTTCATGATATAGTACAGGCCCATTTAAAAAAATGTAAAGGTGGGTGAATGGTAAAAAAAAAATGTTGGTAGTGCTAGGGCTTTGTAAATCCTCTATTTATCTCCCTATGCATTATGTACATTGTAACTTAATGCATAAGGAGATGAAGCCCTAGGGCTTATGTCAACATATTACTGTGTACCATATGGGCAATGCCACACTTCTCCTTTCATCTAACTCACAAAAGTAACATATATAAAACACATCATGGACTCGGTTAAAGCCCAATTGTAGTTTCCCCATAAAAAACAGAAAGGAAGTCAAGTTGGATCAACCCCTGGAACTGTCACATTTGCTGGACAGCATGGCCTGTTAAAGAAAAACTGTGAGCAGAAACAAAATTAACCCTTGCAGTGGGTCTACCCCCACACTGCAAGGGTTGATTGCTCCTTTTAGGCTAGGGTGTAAACAAAACAAAAAAGATATACTCATCCGAACCTCGGTCCTGCTTAGCTGCTACTCGATTGCTTGTGACAGACTACATCATGTCAGCCATTTTTTTTTTATTTGCCCATGGCACACTCTTTTCTTAAATTTAGGATGCTTTTTACAATTAAGTATGTATACAAAACAATGTCAGGGCCAAACACAGATGGTAAGTTTTGAGAAAAGATGGACAGAAGGATCTGAACAGACATTTGGGGGATCTGGCCACTCAGAACATGGGAGATTCTTCATCTTTGTGTGGATAGAAGTTTTGGGTATAAACGTACATTCACAATTAAGGAACATAACTGTCAGTTCTTACTACCCATCTGTAATTCACTTTTCTCATTACACTGCATTCCTATATATAATAGAAACATACCATATCCATGTACCAGAAATGGCAGGTATGACAGTTCTATACAACAGTTCACCATTCTACCTAATGCACATGGTTGTCATGTTTGCACCATGATATATTAGTATGTAAAAGAAACTACTATTAACACTAGGCATGTTGTTTTACTCATTTTTATTGTTGTATTGTGAGATTAGTGCCACGGTCACCTTAGCCTTATGCTGCAGAGCGGTTGAAATAATAGTGATACATGCACCTATGTTGCTTTAGTCCACATTCTTACTTAGACTAATAGCTTACCTGCTGAAGTATGTGTCTTTCTCTTAAAGTCATTAATCGCCTGTGAAGTTCAACTAATTCATCTAGGTATGCCTGGAAAAAATAAAATAATATTAAATACTATTCACGTATCTCAAAAAACAGTGGGAAAATGCAGGAAAGTACCAAGACATATACGCAAGCAAGATTTTTAATTAACATATATGCATCAGTGAGACAGTCAGTTCAGGTTTTCTATTGGGCTCAAAGGATAAAGCATTGCTGCTTGCAGAATGTAAAAAAGTTGGAGAAATATACTTTCCTTTCTTCAACCCCCCCAGCTTCTGCCCGTGGTGGGTAGGTGAAGGGTGATGTCACAATCCTTCTGGTGAGATAACAGAAATGCTTACTACACAACGTCTTGCATAATGACATTCCATTTGGGTACTGGGACATTCCCTGGGACCTCATCAGAAGGTTGTTGACAACACCACCTGCAGTGCGGAAGCTGGAGGTAGGGCGAATATTACCTTGCTTCCCACTGGCTTTTTTTTCATCCTTCCTTCATGTAGTGAAAGTGTAAACAGGACCTTCAAATTTTAAAGGGTCTCAATGCTTATGGTAAAATTGAAAGAAGAAGATGCACATCTGCAAAATCCCTATTTGTTTTCTTTTTAAATAAGCTTTTTTGAGCCAGCACAATACAAGAGCAAGCCGCCTCCTGCCAGACCATGCTCTTCCTGCTCATATGGGGGTTAGTCATAGAGAAGTGGGGCAGATCTACTCTATACCTTTTGTGTCTGTTTAGTTGCGTTTTCTGTGTAACTGCAACTAATGATTTTCATAATCGATTAGTTGGTCAATTATTTTTTCAATTGATCGGATAAAAAAAATTAAGTGAATACCATCCTTCATTTAAAATAAAATATACAAATGCAGTGTTACAAACAAAGTTTACTTCAGAATAAAACTGCATGCACAATTTTTTGCAATCGCACTGCACTGGAACACATGGCATTGCGTTCCAGTGCGGGTGATCACACTGTGGGTGGGAGGCGCGTATGGAGTGCCATTGGAATGAATGGCACTGCAACGCACCTCTCACAGCAGAATTTGTCAGGCCGAAACCGAAAATTACTTTTTTCGCACCTTTTATTTATTTTTTTAAATAATTGTATTGTAAGCACATGGAGCTTGAATAGCTTCAAGCGGCACGATTCTGCAGGCAGCAGCTGAATGTAAATACAGCAGAAGTGGGCTGGCTATTGCACCCACCCACTGCTTGCTGTGTCCTTCTCCCAGCATGAAGGAGAGAGCTAGGGGATCCGACCAACTAATCGATAATGATAGTTGACAACTATTCTCATAATCGATTAATAGATTAGTTGGTTGCAGCCCTATTGCTGTGTGATCAGACAAACTGTGGATAATTTCCTATCCTGAGGTCTTAGAATACCATGAGCTATCTCTGCAAATAGGTACCTTTCTGTAGGATGTCAGTCATTAAAACTTACAATGAGGCATGTTTAAAAAATAGGACAGCAGTGTTAGAGATGCCAGCACCCAGCCACAACACCTTGAATGCAATGAAGGAGCTTACAAACTAATATCAATACCTGCCACATTCATACACCAGCAGGAGAGCCAATTTGGAAGGAAGCCACTCAATCTGCCAGTGTGTTTTAGGATTGTAAGAGGAAAACAAAGCACACATAAAAACATCCACACTTGATGCAGTGAGTGACACCTGAACCTTCACCCAAGCACTGCAAATGCTATCCACTTAACCACCATGATGCCTTTGTTTGTTTTTTCCTTCACCTCCCCCCCTTACTCACACACACACACACACACACACACACACACACACACACACACACACAGCAGCTATTGAGAAATGAGCCTAGCCCAAACAACTGGAGTTGCCATCCACTTTAGCCACCATGCTGCATCTGTTCTTTTTTTTTTTTCCTTTCCTTGTCTGCCCACTTCTGGCATCCCTGGATAGATCAAGCAGAGAAGTATAAAATGTTCTCAGTTGACCTGCAGAATTGTCAATTCTAGGGAAAATGAGAATGGGGCATGGGGATTTGGTCATGGTCATGGTGTACATCTGACATTATAGTAGTGATTCAGGCCCACTTCAGCATGAAGATGCTTGTAAAACGAACACTCGTTAATTATATACAGAGTTGGTTCGTACCACTGGAGTCGTGGGTTCGATTCCCAGCAGGAACATTACTGTGTACATAGCGTGTCTGTGCTCTCCATGTTTGTCTTTATTGCTAAGAAGAGCTGAGTAACAAGACATTCAATAAACAAAACATGTAGTTACTTCGACATGCGAATACAGTACAAAACTATGTAGGAAATATAATCGCCAATAAAACTGTGGACAACAAATTCAAAGATATATTTTTACCTTATCGCAGTCTCCATTTTTTATTGGCTTTTCAGACTTGCTCTGTTTAATCGGGCTCTTTACATCCAGGATCTACAAGCCGCACACCAAATGAAAAAGAAAGCCATTTTAGTTTAAACACAGTGTATTGTCCATTTCAATACTGCTCAGGCTACAGATGTGAGACCCCAGGCAGTGCTGTCCTTATTCAGGGTTAGGAGTATTTATTAGAGGTTACACCAAAGTTGGACACAAGTAAATATCTATAGTCCCAGACAGAAGGGTGAGGAAATATGGCTAGATACACAAAAAAGGTAAATAACCATAAGCTGTACATTCCCAGTCTGGCCCCTGGTGAGACTGATAAAAGCTCTTGACCTCTGGTTCTGCACTTTACTGTTTCAGCCAGACTTGAAGGAATTTACAGCCGTATTATAAAGTAACAAGTGACATCTTGACAAATAAGAGTAGGAGATCCAGGGAGAACAACCATTATTCATATTTAGGGTAGATCATCTTTTACTGAAACCATGAGTGTAACAGGTTGTAGTTTCATTTGTTCATCATTTAGTTCTTGATAACAGGCTTTAAATGTATACATGCAGGCTATTTACTTGTCTAAAGTATTTCACGGCAATAAAGAAGCTGGACAATTGAATGTAATTAATTTAGAAGAGTTTTTTTTTTTTTTAAAGCCCAGTTATTCAGCAGTTCGGTGCCAGAACAGTGATAGATTCTATGGCTGTTGAATGGAATGGGGCAAGGTGTAGAGCAGGCTCGATTTTGACCTGAAGAGAAGTTATGGACCTGTATAGAGCCTGGGCCTAGCATATTGGAACTTTTGACACAAAGTACCTGATATAAAGACAAAAACACAGACATTAACATACAATGGTTCTCTTATGGAAACAATAAAGCAATGGCTATTGCACAATGTAAAATTTGATTAGCAGATGGCAGTGCAGATTAGCAGATTTGAAAGAATTCTAATCAAACTTTCCATTTAATGTGAAAAATTCTTAACCCTCCAATATCCTATGAGTATTGATTCACTGCTGGCACAGATGAGGATCCATATTAGAACAAATAGCTTACGGGCTCTAACTTTAAACATTGCAAGTGGCTGTTTATGGAATAGTCACATGACCCATTTCACTTCTTGGCTCTCTACAACCCCAACTGCCACATATTGTTAGAGGTGGAAATGAGAATATACATGGATGTAAGCAAACTGCTACCATTCCGAGTGTATCAGCCCTTATAAAAAATTTCTGTTTAATAGGCTCTGTGGCTCAGGCTGCAGTTTATGCGTACAAGTGAGAGAGACATGACTCATCCCTTATCGAATGGCCCAGTCTGAAGTTTTAGTCAGACAAACAGAGCCACGTTATCTTATGTGCAATCTCTTTAGCTAACCCATGGCACTCTGGGAATCCTTAGTCATGTATTAGATGTTTGTGTGCGAATATATATAGATTTTCCTTCACTTTCAGTCCCAGTGCACAAAGAGTGAATCTCCCTAACAAGGACACAGGCAACGATAAAAACCTGACTGGTTTTAACCCCTCGCCATTCTATTCAAATAAAATTTTTTTTTTTTTAGCTTTTGATACATGTACATGGGTTTGGAAATTTTTTAAAAAAACAACTACTTGTCCAAGGACTAAAGCGGGGGGCTAATCTACAAAAATATTTTAAAACCAAAACCGTATTTAACAGTGCAAAGGAGCACTTCTCATTGGTCAGAACAGACAGGTGACTGCACTGACCAACTAATGCTCCCAATTTGTGAGTGAAATTAAAAATCCGTAGTGCGCTGAACAGCAGTATGGGGTACAGATAGTACACCCATACCAGCGGTGGGGAAGGACCGTTTACCGAAAGGTAATTATGTGGGTGGGGGCCTCAAGGGGGCCGGATTGTAGGGGGTAATTCCATTTGCCCACATTACTTGGGAAAGTGAACTTACCCTTTAATGCACATTGTGCATGTTAGAAAGCACTGCTGCCCAGCTACCACAAAAGTGCACATGTTTATTTATTTTAATTTTTTTACTTTATCACTTTTTCCTTTTTTTTCCTTTTTATTTTATTATGTTTTCCTTTCTATTTTTAACTTTTTTCACTTTATTTTTTTCACTTAACTTTATTGCGATCACATAGGGGATAAAAAGCAGCGGGGGGCGGGGGGGGGGGGGGGGGCATGGTACGACCATGGATGGATGGACAGACAAGCAGGCTGCATACAAGTCATCTGGGTGGCTGTATAGCAGTCACACTCTGATGTCATCAATGTATTGCACAGGAGGACGGCGTCGGCCCACCCACAACCCTGAATGTCTGAGAGAAAAGGTGAGCACCGGAAGCCCGTTGGAGCAGCAAATTGTTATTATAGCTCATTCCTCAACCACTAGACTTTGCTGTGCAGGGGGTATTATTTTTAAACCTAGTGTTCAGCTTTAAGTACAAGCCAAAGATGACAATTATGTCTCATAGAAAAAGAAGGAACATCATCTTTGTGACGTTTGCATTCATAAAGTTTTGGCTAAAATCAAGTTAGCATACAAGAAAGAGACATAGCTAATTCACTTTATGAATTCCCGGCTCTCACACCTATAGCCTTGTCCATTCAGCAGGGCTGAGTTTATCTCTGAATATTTTATTCTTTCCTACAGTGACAGATTGAGTGTTTGATCTTCATTTCACAGCACAATGGATCCTAGTTGCCAGGCAAGAACTGTGTAGTCTTCTAAATGCTCCAAAATTAAATTCCATGCCTCCAATAGCCAAGCATACAGTATGTGTTATTAGCATTGGATAAACACAAAGTCTTTTCCGGAGTGCTATTTCTGACAATTTACCTTACAAAATAAGTAGCAAAATGTAGGGCAGACAGAGGAAAATAGAGACAAAGAAAACCCAGTGCATTCTGTTATGCTGTTTTTACATACCATATTTCTGTGTATTTTTTTTTTTTAATTATCCGATTAACCGATTAATCGAACTTAATAATCGGCCAACTAATCGATTATGAAAATAATCGTTAGCTGCAGCCCTAGCTGAAACAATCAAATTTTGTGTTGAGGTCAGCAAGCTGTAATGCTCAATTTCCATACCAGTATCCATCATTTCAATTCTAGCCTACTTTTTTTAAATTCAGTTTAAACTTGGAAAAGCACCCTCACTGTCCTGAGAAAAAAACGGGCGCTACCATTACTGCCCTTTAATTCTCGGTGACACTGACCTGTAACCAGGAGGAAGATGATGGTTTCTGCCTTCTCTCTGAATTTACTAATCTGTGGACCTGTTTTAAGAAAAACTAGCATTTTCAGCAATGACACTCCCATGGTCCTCTTATGACAGGTTTACTTTAAAGCAACTAAATAAAACATATGGCAAGCAGATATTGTACATGAGTTTCCTTACAAAAGCAAATAAGGGCATGCGTTGGAAAATACACACTTATTTTTGGCGACAGGCAATTTAATCAGCACAGTTACAGCATGTCTCAGCACTGGAGTAACTGGATCTATAGGGAGTATGCACAGTACTGCGCCTCCACAATCCTCTTCAGCTAACCTGAAAATCGTGAAAAATAGATCTGAAAAACACCGGTTTAAACAGACTCAACAAACTCGATTTAAAAAATGTATACATAGTTTTCCTCTGACTAAATAATTGTTGCACATAATTTGTATTACCAACAAAAAACATGAAAAGTTATCGATGTAAACCCCCCCCCCCCAAAAATAAAACCAAACTGCACATCCCCCCTTACTAGTGCATATATTATAAAATGAACCATATACGGCATATTGTTACAATATTTTCTGGATCGCAGATGTAACAACACCTACTTAAAAGTGCAAATAAAGATCATAAAGTCATCCATTCAGCACTGGCCGTCTTAACACAAATATCCAAAGCCCATATATAAAAATGTCAATCGGTTATTTAAATTTCAAGACGAAACTTGGTGGGTCTACTTAAATGCCCGTGGGAGCAGGGTTTACATCCTAGAGCAAACAAACTGTACAATAGAGAGTTTTGATTAATTTATTTAAAAAATGTATCAATTTCTTCAGTCCACCATAACAATGAATCATATGCATCACAGACACAGGCTGGAGTGTCATCACACATGTTGTCTGCCAATGATGTTTAAATATACTGTTTTGATGTATGTTTTCCATGAACAGGATCAATATCACAGTTCAAAGTGCCTCCCAATGCACAACATCCATAGACAAAGAATTATGGAGCCAAAGTGACACTGAAAGCACAATGCCATAAAAAGTATTTGATAAAATACCTGTCAAATAAAATGAGATCGGCAGCCATGTCCACATACAAATACCTGCCAGTAGGCGCCCTTTGGCTTTCAACTGTGTGCAGTTGCAACTAATACCAAAACTGCCATTCAAATTTCAACGGGTTTTGGCTTCCCCACTTTAAAACAAATATAGTTTAATAAAGCCATAAAATGCACGTTCAATCCTACAATGCCAGTGGGTGGCCTATTATCCAACTCAAACAATTCCGATGAATGGAAGTAAAGCATAATTTACACAGAAAAATATGTCATACTCATCATGATCCAAAAGTCCATATTCCAACTTGTGCATCCAGACTGGGGGGACGATGAAGATTGTATCAAAAGGTGTTTATAGCTTTTAATTATGTTTTTGTGTTTGTAGTAAAAATGGTGTACAGAGACTGCAGTTCTAAAGATTATTTTATTCAAAGGAAAACTATATACATTTTTTTTTTAAATAGTTTGTTTACCTTTTAGATTGTAAGCTCTCATGGGCAGGGCCCTCCTTACCATCTTGTCTTGAATTGTGATTGTAATGTCTTCCTTATATTGTAAAGCGCTGCACAAACTGTTGGCGCTATATAAATCCTGTATAATAATAATAATAGTCTATTTAAACAGGTGCTTTTTCACATCTAATTTTCATTATTTCAGTTCCGGTAGACTTGAAGGGGTCTATTTATAAATATTAAATACATGTTTCCTTTGCTCCTCAGCTCCATCTAGTGGCCATAATGCCGTATTACAGCACAATACATTTGAACGTGAAAAAGAAATAT